CCCGCCCGCCCCAGGTAGGTCAACTCTGTGTGTGTGTGTGTGTGTGTGTGTGTGTGTGTGTGTGTAGAATACAGAGCTCTGTGTCTCATGCCAGCCAGCCAGCTAAGATCCAGAGGTGCCATGCCTTCGTACCAGATGCCCAGGCACTTCTGGTCTGGTTGAGTGAGGCCAAGCAGACCACTATTATGGGATGGAGCCTAGCTCTGTCTCTGGGTCCCTGGGTCTCTTGGGAGTGAGCCTTGTGGGGGAAACCAAAATGGGATGGGGGGGAACTGCAGGAGGGAGCAAGGGTAACATTGTTGCTGATGTCAGCAGATGCCCCCCCTCCCCCCCAGAGAGCTGGGCGAGAATGGGGGAGGTAGGGAGGAGAGAGACCCAGACAGCCACACTGGAGGCAGAGAGAGGGGAAGATGGTGACAAGCCAGTGATGAGGGGGTGACAGGGAAAGCACAAGGAGAAGAGCCAGGATCACAGCCTCAGGAGGTGGGGTCACAGTGACCAAGAAAGCCTAGGCATGTGCCACTCCCCACACCACAGCCTGAAATGCGCAGGCACTAAGGGCCTCTCATCCAATATCAAATGCTGGGATTGTTTTTTGGAGGAGAGACAAGCAAATGTCTCTGGGAAGAGAGAGGAGGACAGGTGGGAGAAAGAGAGCGAAAGATTCCCACAGGAGGAGGGAGAATGGGGAGACAGGGGGATTCCAGGGATCACTTGACTCATGCTCCTGCTCCAGGGCACTGTCTCCCCTCTGCCTTCTCCAAACGTCTGGGGACTGAACAGAGCTCTTCTTTGGACCCGAGGGGCGGGGCCTGAGGCAGGTTCAGCGCTCCACAGGGTGTGGGTGCTGTATGTCAGGAGGCACCGTGGTTTAAAAGTGGGGAACACTAGGATCCCAGAGATAAACCGGGGGCATTATTCAGTTGGAACCCCCTCCCTCTTGCGTCAAGAGGAAACCAAGTCTAGAGAGGGGAGCCACTTGCCCAGGGTCCCCGACGCTTGGCAGGGCTGGGGCTGGGACCCAGGCTGTTTGCACGCCACCTCTCTCTAGCTGGAGAATTGGAACAGCTGCAGGGGGCCTCCTGGGCGGGGAGGGGGGCTGGAGCCTGGGGAGAGGAGCAGGCAGGCACCCTTGTGGCCAGAGCCCCCCCAGGGGAGGGGGAGGCGCCGCTTCGGGGAGAGAGAGGGAGGGAGGGGAGAGAGGAGGGGAAACAGTGAGTCAGGCTTCCAAGAGCTGAAGATGAGAGAGCCAGCTCTGGGAGGGAGAGGGCAGGGAGGGCTGCTCTGAAGTGAGGAAAGGGAGGGGGCCCAGCTAGGGGCAAGGAGAGCTCTGGAGGGAGGGAGCCAGCCCCTGGCCCTGGCCCAGCAGTAGGGCTGTGCGGAGGGTGCCGCCAATATGGACTTTGCCCATGGTAGACGAGGAAGAAAGCTGATTGTGCCCCTGCAGTATCCCTTTCTTTCCCTTTCTTGACTTATGATCCCACCCCAGGGTCTCAGGGGCAATGACACCCACCCTAGACAGATGGTGTCCTCCCATCCCTTCCTCAGTTTCTTCATCCATTGTGGGATTTGGACTGGGAGCTCTTCTTGGAGAGGGAGTGGGGGACACAGCATCCCGGGAGAGTGTTGAGAGATGCTGTCTCCAGCTGCTGGCTTTGTGCTGGGGGCACTGTTGGAGCTGCCACTGGTGCAGGCGAGGGTGCAAGGTCTTGGGGCAGGCTCCCTGTTGAACCCTCTGAGTTGCTGGGCCAAGGAGAGGGAGTGGCTGGCCATGAGTGCTGGGGTGCACTCTGTGTGTGTGTGTGGGGGGGGTGATGGTGGTGGTGGTGGTCTTGTGATGGTAGGTGGGTTATCTGGGGCCTCTCAGATTAGCCAGTGCCTAGACAGGACCAAGGTCCCCACATGTCCAGAACCACCTTCAACTTGGGGAGGAGGGTTACACTCATG